GTTTGTCCCCAGTACTTAACTCCATGTATACTATGAGTTAAACTGTCTCAAGCTTCTATTTTACCTCTCTGCACCTGTAAAATGGCCAAAGAGAGAGGGGTGGTGATGAAGATTCCTGCTAGCTGCCCTGTGCTTATGTTCTAGGATACTTATACATCGTTTGGTGTCTCATTTCCACAATATTCTAGAGCAGCATTTGTCAGTAGCACTTAACAACAACAACAACATGCATTGTAAACACCTGGAAAGTCTAAAACGTGCCCAGGCCTCTCCTCGGACCAAAGCAGAATCTCTGGTTTAACCTCTTGCTTCAATACAAGCATAAGAAGAGAAATAAAACTGGAAAAGTCAAGTGGACAAAAACATTACTCCATGTATATTACATTTGTCTTTTGTCAATTATAGTTTAAATTGTGGCGAAAATATATGCATTAAACATTCGCCAATTCAATTTCTACATGCACATTTCTATGACATTTGTTACTCTTCTCACATATTTGGCTTTAATTCTTCTGATATTTGTGAATGCACTTCCTCAACAACGCATTATAAAATCTTTTATAGATTGTATTATAAAATATGCCCTCTTGCAAGATCTTTTGTCTGTAGCATGGAATTTGATTCTTTGGCCACCGTGAGTGGAAAGGATTATAAACACGAAGTAGAATCAAATCTAGATTCATCATTAACACTTCAGTGTGAAGAGAGAACGAATTCCTAAATTAGAGCTGTTTGGATTTACTATTTTTGGACTCAGGACGTTGGTAGTGAGGCTCTGATTCACCTCTCTCAATGAGAGGATGTATTTGTTTAATGTAAGGGGCACAAAGCCGAACCAAAGTTCAAATTTTCTGACCAGGGAGGGAAAACAGGGAGCCACAAAAGGCAATCAGGGATCCTCAAGCTTATGCCCACAGGATTGTGGGACTTGTAGTTTTTCCTAAATATTATCCACTTTATGAACTACATTTCCCAAGATGCAACTGTAGCCAGACAATCTTGCCGTCCGGCGAGAAGGGTCCTTGAAGGTAAGTGTGTTTTGTGCTGGCTGCTGGTTTCTGGAAGTTGTGAAATTATTGTAAGGTGCTCCATTGCTCCTTTGCTGTGGGACCCGGAAGAGGGCATCTGTTCTAGTATAGCATGTTTCAGCAGAATTTTCCTTGCCCTTTGGTCTCAGAAAATTGGACACAAGGTATTGTTTAGCTGTTCACGTGTCACTGGAATGTCAAGGAGAAAACTAGTCCTGAACTAACTCTGGAAAGCCAAACATAAAATAATGTTTCCACAAGGGGTTTGCGTCACTCTAGAATTCCTGCATTGTATAAAAATAATCTGTCACTGTCTTGTTTTCGCAGCTTGCAAAGTGGACCTGCGAGGGCAGAATGTCTGGGCCGGTCACACTTGGTTGTGTCCAGGTAGCAGGGTTTGCAATTCAGGGTCAATTAAAACAATCTGGGCAAAATGAAAGCAACACAAAGAGTGCTTGTAATTAATTACATGAATAAATGCAGAAGTCTGGATGGTGTGCACAACAACTTCACTAAACCCATCACACTAACACACAAATGTGCTTCTCTTAGCTTATGAAGAAATGAGAGAATTCTAATTTGTAAAATGGGAAGTAGATTTATGGAACACATAGTCCCCCAAAGGATGCTATCTGTTAAAAATCTAGATTAAACTCATTCCTCATGTAGAGGCATTTTTATATACAGTCATATGGAATAATATTGGGCTGTTAGGGATTTGAAGTCCCTAGGTGGTACAAACAGTTATGCACTGGACTAGCAGCCAAAAGGTTGGCAGTTTGGACCACCCTGAGGCACCTCGGAAGACATGTCTGGTCATCTGCTTCCAAAAGATTACAGCCTTGAAAACCCTAGAGTTCTATTCATACATGGGGTTACCATGAGTCGGAATAGACTGGAACACAACAATATTTAGGGATTTAAACAATGTTGGGGTAAGTCCTTACTTTGGAAGTTTGTAAGACATTTGGTTCTGACCAACCAGGTATTACTAGGAGACATAGAAGAGGGCTTATGTTGTGTCAGAGTCCAGCTTGATGAATTTTTGTCTTTATCCAGCCCCCTTTTTGTTTTAAAACAAATATAATTTTCCTCAGATACAGAAAGTCTTAACAGGGTCACTAGCCATTTAAAGTTAATTTTCACTTGATGGTAGGTAGCATAGTAGAACTCTGACTATGGGTTCTTAAGAGGTTGGAAGACAAGATAGATTTAAGCTGTGATGAAATACACTGGTATATTATACGAGATTTTATTTGTGGAAGTATTAGAGGTTTTTAACAACAACAAATCTTAAGAAGAAAAGATTATGTAGGACGCACTGAATACTCATGGGAAATTCCGTGGATGATGGTTGCACATCATGATTACTAAATGTCACAATTTTACACTGCACATGTAAAAATTGCTAAATTAGCAAATGTGTTATATCTATTTTTACCACCACCAAAATACAAAAGGAAACATTAGTTGTTTCAAGTTGGACTTCATAAGCTCCCTGGAACCCGCTGGTAATGTGAGAGCTGATGGAAAAATAGGAATTTTGCTAACCAGCTGTGAAACCGTGTGTAGCCTGATACTGACCATGATGGGAGTGTTTTCCTTCTTTTTATTTGGGGTGGAGGATGAAGGTGGTTGTGGTGCAGGCGATCAAGGTTACCAGTACACCCCTGGCAAGGGTCTGTTTTCTCAGATTTGTAAGCCTGGAATCCCAGGGTTCAGTGCATCCTTGAGTTATCAGATCCTGAATAATTTACACCATTCCACATTTCACAGATTTATTATAAATACACTGTAGATATGTGTCTGTGGAGGAGGAAAGAGGAGTAACTGTACTTTTGTTTCTATCACATCAAAGAGAAACCCCATATCTTTTAGCTGTTACCCTGCAAAAGTTCTATCTGCCTCAGAGAAATTTTCTGCCTCTGGATACTTTGTATAAGTGAAATCTTACAACATGTGGTCTCTTGAGTTTGATTTCTTTTGCTTTTCCTAACATTTCCATTAGTCCCGGTATGACCCTGTAGGATAAGTACTGGACCACAAGGTCGTTTGAATCGCAGGCCCGAAATTCAAACTCACCAGCGGAAGCAGCAGTCAAGAGATCAGACAATGTATTGCATTGGGCAAATCTGCTGCACTGGAACTTTTTAAAGTACTGAAGAGCAGAGATGTCAGCTTGAGGACTAAGGTGCGCCTGACCCAAGCCATGGTATTTTCAATAACCTCATATGGATGCGAAAGCTGGACAGTGAATAAGGAAGATCGTAAAAGAATTGATGCCTTTGAGTTGTGGTGTTGGAGGAGAATACTGAAAGTGCCATGGACTGCCAAAAGAACCAATAGATCTATTTTGGAAGAAGTGCAACCAGAGTGCTCCTTGGAGGCCAAGATGGCTAGGCTTCGTCTCTCATACTTTGGACACATTGTCTGGAGAGAAGAGTTGCTGGAGAAGGATGTCATGCTGGGTAAGGTGGAGGGTCAGAGAAAAAGAGGAAGACCCCCAACAAGATGGATCAGCCAGGTGGCATCATTGATGGACTCAAGTGTGGCGGCGGTAGTGAGGTTGGCCCAGGATTGGACATTGTTTCTTTCTGCTGTGCATGGGGTCGCTATGAGTCGGTTCCGACTCGATGGCACCTGACAACAACAACAACAGCGTACTTCGGAAACCCTATGTTATTGTTAAATGCCATCGAGTCGGTTCTGACCCATAGCGACCCTGTATAGGATTTCCTAGGAGCAGCTGGTAAGCTTGAAACGCCGACCTTGTGGTTCAGACCAACATTGCAGTCTAGCTCATTAACTCACAGCACCTACACCTGGACTCTCAGCTTTACTATAAAGGGTCACTGTGAGTCTGAATTGACGCCACAGCACTTAACAGCAACAAATGTTTTTCAAAGTTCATTTGTCTCATGTCATACACCAGTACTGCATTCCTTTTTCTGATCTCAGCACATTCCATTGTATTTTTAGACCACATTTTGTTCATCCATTTATCAGTTATTGGTGGCCTTTGTTTTTATGTTGTGTTGTTGTTGAGAATATACACAGCAGAGTTTGCCAGGGTTTTGAAAACCCAGTTTCTCATTTGAGGTTTCTGTGTTTTTCTAGAATGAGGATGAATTTCGGGCTGACTGTTCGGTCAGCACAAGGCCGCTGGTCCCTGAACCCCTATCATCGGCGCACGCATGGATCTATTGGGTTATTCGTGCCTCCAAGTCCTCCACTGGACCCAGAGAAGGTTAAAGAATTGCAGCGCTTCATCACCCTTTCCAAGAGGGTCCTCGTAATTACCGGGGCCGGCATATCCACAGAGTCGGGGATCCCAGATTACCGATCAGAGGGGGTGGGACTTTATGCCCGCACGGACCGCAGGCCCATCCAGCACCGGGACTTTGTGAGGAGTGCGCAGATTCGCCAACGCTACTGGGCGAGAAACTTTGTGGGCTGGCCGCAGTTCTCCTCCCACCAGCCTAACCCTGCACACTGGGCGCTAAGCTACTGGGAGCGACTGGGAAAGCTGTACTGGCTGGTGACCCAGAATGTGGACGCCTTGCACACTAAGGCGGGGAGTCGGCGCCTGACGGAGCTCCATGGATGCATGCACAGGTGCAGGGAAGGTCTCCTGTTTTGACCGTGGACAACTGTCCATCCAAATGGGGCGAGAGGAGACCTTGGCAGTCTTCAAACAATTGTCAAGTCAGCTTGGCTTCATGACCCCATGTTTGTTAGAGTAGAACTGTGCTCCCTAGGGTTTCCAAAGGCTAAATTAAATTGTTTTTCATTTACTTATTTTTTCTTTTAAGGATCCCTGGTAGAAGTAGGTGATTCACACGCATCGACTTTGACTGATGATGAGGCTGCTACTGCAAAGATTGGGTTTCGGAATTGACCCTGTGATAGTGGCCATTTATTTGGAGAATGTTGTTGTGTGCCGTAGATTTGGTTCTGACTCATACCGCTGACCTTGAGGTTCAAACAAACAATTGCAGTCTACCGCGTTAAACCAAAGCACCACACCAGGAATGGTTGCCTTTTAATCTGATGTAATGCGCTCATCCAAGATGCATGAGGTTTGGACAAAGCCGATGGTACTACTGGACAACAGCTCATAGGACTTTAAAAGCAGGCGCCTCTGCCTGCTTTATTTATTATTTTTGTAATTTTTTTGTGTGTTTTCTATGAAGGTCTACACTGCAGTTTAGGTTCCCCTTCAACGATCTCTACACAAGTTTTTCTGTGGCATTGATTACGTTCTTCACAATGGGGAACCATTCTTAGTATGTCCATTCTGCTTGTTCTGTTTCCATTCATCTAGTTTCCCTTCATCCTTAACGTTCTCAGCTGTGTTTTGAGGGTATGAGGGGACTTGAAAAAGTTGGTGGAAAATTCCACTATCTTTTAATTCCATTTCCCATGAACTTTTTGAAGCCCCCTTGTAATTGTCGAATGTTGGGTCTCAGATAGGTGATTTAAAAAAAAAAAAAGGAACATAGCATTTAAGGGTGATAGTCATATCTTTTTTTGAGTCATTATGTTAGTTAGCTACTAGGTGACCTCGGGTTAGTTTCTATTCCATATGTGAAGAGTATCTCAGGGTAATAGTTTTCCAGAGTCTTCCAGTCTCAACCAGTCTAGTGGGTTAGGTTTAGATTGTTCTTAGGAACTTGGGGTTCTATTACACATTTTTCTCCCATTCTATCTGGGCCCATCTCTTGTTACTCTAATCAGAATGGTTGGTAATGGTACCTGGGCACCATCTAATTCTGCTGGTCTCAGGGTGGGTGAGGCCTTGATATAGACTATTTGTCCTGTAAATTGGGTTTGTTTGGTTTCCTTCATTCACTTTTTGTCCAGATGAGTAGCGACCTATGATTATATCTTAGATGGTTCCTTGAAAACTTCTAAGACCACAGATATGACTCACCAAATTAGGATATAGAATATAACTTTATGAACTATATTATGAATGCTGCTTTTTGGGGAAGTATATCACGAAGCAACTCTGGGTGGACTTGAACCTCCAATCTTTGAGTTAGAGAATGAGCCATTAACATTCGTACCACCCAGGGACTCTGCTGTTTTAGTTATTTTTTTGTTAAGTGCCGTCAAGTCGGTTCTGACTTGTATAGATTTCCAAGGAGTGGCTGGCTGGTGGGTTTGAACTGCCAACCTGTGGTTAGTGGTTCAGTGCTTATCTAGTAGTGCCACACTGGTGGTGTTATGATGAGCCGTGGAGTCGGTTCCAACTCATAGCGAGTCTGTACAGGGTTTCTGAGGCTGTACATTTTTACAGGAGCAGAAAGCCTCCTCTTTCTCCCGCGGGAACAGCTGGTAGTTTTGAACTGCTGACCTTGTGGTTCGCAGCCCGATTCATAACCACTACGCTACCAGAGCTCCTTAGTGCCACCTTAGGACTCGTTATTTTAGTTAAACCTAACAAAATGGTTGAGAGCACGTCATTTTGAAGTTGAACTCAGCAAGTTGGGCAAGGGAGTAGAGAGGTGAGGTGGGTGCAAACCTTGGCTTGCAGACATGCCTAAATGACCTCTCTCTGCCTCTGTGTGTGTGTCTCATCTGTTTTTTTTTTTATATCTCAAGAAGCGATTCCATTTGAACCCATCTTGTTGGGTATGATCTAAGTACATAACAAAGAAAGCCCTACTTCCAAGCAGGATTACGTCTACAGGTAGAAAACCAGACCCAAATCTCTTGCCGTTAAACAGATTCTGGCTCTTGGTGATAATCTTTTTATTTTTTTTATCTTTTAAACATAAGTAAAGAAATTTTTTTTGTAAATATATGTACGTGACATAGCATTTTGGCTGTAATTTGGAAAGGGTACATTCATGAATTTTGACTGTTGTGTCTACAGAAGCAGGTCAGCAGGCCTTTCTTTCAAGGTGTTGCTAGATGGGTTCGAACTGCCAGTCTTTAGATTAGTAATCAGTGTTGGCCTTTGGCACCATTGGTATAGAAGTGAGGATTCCAACCTGCATGCTGGTAAGACACAGTGCAATCCATAACAGAAGCCAAGAGAGAAAAGCGTTGTTTTTTGTTGTTGTATTTAATCACACAACTTTTTACAGGTATTCAATTTATTGACAGCAGTTACTCTTAACCAACACTATTTTTCTATCACCATTGGCCCCTTCTCCCCCTCCTTCCTGCTTCTGGTTCCCTAGGAAGCCACTGGAAGACAGTGGGTTTAGGTTTGGGTTCCACCCCTGGTAACCATGAATAAGCTTTGATCTCTGCTCATTTGCCTCTTTTTAGTCTTTTATTGGTATCCTGGTGTGGCACTGTAGGATAAAAACTGGACTGCTAACCACTAAGTCAGTGGTTCAAACCCACCAGCCACTCCTCAGAAACCTTATACAGCGTCACTATAAGTCTAAATCAACTAGAAGACACTTAACAGTCTTTTCATGTAAGTGAGGTCATGCAATAGGCAAACAAAGTATTTTAAACAGAGGACCGTGATCGACAGTAACCATTCCTTCTGAAAGCAAAAAGGTTAGAGTAAGGCCATCATTTGGTAAAGCATTTGCTTACTGTTGAAGATAAAAGGCTGCTTGCAAAAGGTTAAGCAGGGAGCGTGTAGTCAGGAATCAGATGGTCATTACTCATTCTAGAAGGCAGGCTGTAAGGTAGGTGAGAGTTAGGGTGGTAGCTAAAGAGCTCATGATTGAATTGTATCCCCCCACATGGGTGCTATAAATCCTAAACCCTTATCTATACCTGTAGATATAATCCCATTTGGGAGTAGAACTGTTTATGTTAAATTAATGAGACCATATCCATGTAGGGTGTGTCTAGCCTGAAGCCAGGACATCTTGGAGATATTAAAAGAGCAGATTAGACACAAAGAAGCAAGTATATAGGGAGGGGGAAATACACGCCACTGTGAAGTTGCCCAAAATAGAGAAGGCCTTTCCGTAGAGTGGGAGCCCTGAGTTTGGACTTCTAGCCTCCTAAACTGAGAGAAAATTATTTCTGCTTATGAAAGCCATTCACTTGTGGTATTTCTGTTGTAGCAGGACTACGAAACTAACAGAGAAAGGTGTTCCTGAAATGGGGAGAAAAACTGCTTGTTACTGTTGCTAAGTGCCCTAGAGTGGCATTTGACTGACTCATAGTGAATTTGTATAGGGTTTCTGAGGAGTGACTGGGGGGTTTGAACTGCTGACCTTGTAGTTAGCAGTCTAGTATTTATCGTATACCACTATCCCAGGACTCCTTAGACAGAAGGTGTCCCTAAAATGAGGAGAAAAGCTGGAGTTGTTAGGAAAAGATAACACAATGGTGGAGGAACTGAAAATGGCTGGGGAAGGGGCCATCTCTAGTAGGTTTGTGCCTCCGAAGGGCTGAGTGTTTAGTGGCCACTCCTTTGCTTTCAGAGTCCTCTGCTTGACTTGTGGTGAGCAGACTGCCCGTGGACAGCTGCAGGACCGTTTTGAAGGGCTGAACCCCACCTGGAGTGCAGAGGCCCACGGCCTGGCTCCTGATGGTGATGTATTCCTCACAGAGGGGCAGGTTCGAAGCTTCCAGGTCCCGTCCTGTGCCCGGTGTGGAGGTCCTCTGAAACCAGATGTCGTCTTCTTCGGGGACACAGTGAACCCTGACAAGGTTGACTTTGTGCACAAACGGGTCAAAGAAGCTGACGCCCTCTTGGTGGTGGGATCGTCTTTGCAGGTATTTGAGTTAGCCAGCATGGGAACTGACCACCTTGGGGTTGTTGTTGTTAAGTACCACGGAGTCAGTTCTGACTCATAGTGACCCTGCACAGGGTTTCTGAGAATGTAAATCTTTATGGGAGCAGAAAGCCTCATCTTTCTCCCGCGAATGACTGGTAGTTTCGAACTGCCGACCTTGAGGTTAGCAGACCGATTCGTAACCACTACGACTTTGGGGTTAGGAGACCTCTAAAAAGGCTCCCTGTTTGGTTGATCTCTTCTTGGATCTGGAGTGCTCACCTGTGTTTTCTCCTTGTGCAGGTGTACTCTGGTTATAGGTTTATCCTTACCGCCCAAGAGAAGAAGTTGCCAATTGCTATACTGAACATTGGGCCAACACGGTCAGACCACTTGGCATGTCTGAAACTGGATTCTCGCTGTGGAGAATTGCTGCCTTTGATAGACCCACACTGATCACAGGCTGGTATTCCTAAGCCAGAAAACAGGACTTGCACTTGATTCCTGCTTTGAAGGTACATGCTTCTCAGCCATCAGACACCATTTGAGAGTAGGCTGCGTTGACAAAATTCAAAAGGTTCTAGGCTCCATAATGTTATCCAAAGGGTTGGAGGTTCCGGTCTACCACAGGTGCCATTCACAACCCTGTGGAACCTCCATGAACAACTGCCTCCCTGGCCAGGAGACCAAAAGAACTGGGTGCTGCCCAGATATGCTTACTGATCATCTCGATCAAAGATTCTATAGGAGCAGCCCAATCAAAAGGGGGAGAATGTAGAACAGAATTCACAATTTTTATGGGATCCACACTTTCTGGAACTATGGAGGCTGGATGAACCCACAAAACTATTGCCCTGAGAAAATCTTTAAACCTTAAACTAAAATTATCACACGGAGTGTTCTTAAAACTGAACAGTAGTTTGACTTGATTAGTCAGAAAGGTCAGCCTGGAATGTTACATTCTTTTAGAAATTATATGGAAACAAACTGACACCAACAACTCATGATTAGTTCGGAACCTCAGGGGGCACCCAGTTGTGCGTCAGGAAAGGAGGGTGAGAATGGTTATGCAACTTGGAGAATGTCATCAGTATCATGTAGAAACTGTCAAATTGGTGAATGTCTGTGTATATTCTCAACAACAACAACAAAATAAATAGAATTTAGGACAAACCAATGAGAGTTGAGCTTAAAAGTGAAGAATGTCTTCCTTGGCCATTTTGTTCTTTTAAGAACTATGATGGAGCTTCAAAAAGTTTGCTTAAAAATTGCATTATCTTTTAATTCCATTTTTCCTTGAGCTTTTGAATCTACCTCATAGCTTCTTGTTGTTGTTAGGTGCTATCTAGTCGGTTCCGACCCATAGTGACCCTGTATCCAACAGAATGACACACTGCCTGAACCTGCACCAGTCTCATAACCATTGATACGTTTGAGCCCGCTGCTGCCACCACTGTGCCAATCCATCTTGTTGGGGGTCTCCTTCTTTTGCTCTCCCTCCCCTTTAGCAAGCATGATATCCTTCTCCAGGGATTGGTCCCTCCTGATAATATGTCCAAAGTATGAGAGATGAAGTCTGGCCATCTTGGCTTCTAAGGAGCATTCTGGTTGCACTTCCTCCAACACAGATTGATTTGTTCTTCTGGCAGACAATGGTGCTTTTAATATTCTTCTCCAACATCTTAACTCAAATGCATGAATTGTGCTACAGTATTCCTTATTCATTTATCAACTTTCACATGGATAGGAAGTTACTGAAAATACCATGGCTTGGGTCAGGCACACCTTAGTCCTTAAACTGACATCTTTGCTCTTGAACACTTTAAAGAGATCTTGTGCAGCAGAGTTGCCTAATGCGACAAGCTGTCTGATTTCTTGACTGCTATTTTCATAACTGTTGATGGTGGATGTAAAATGAATTCTTTGACAACTTCAATTTTTTCTCCATTTACCATGATGTTGCTTATTGGTTCAGTTATGAGAATTTTTGTTTTATTTAAATTGAGGTGCAACCTATATTGAAGGCTGTGGTCTTTGATCTTCATCAGTAAATATTTTAAGTCCTCTTTGCTTTCAGCATACCCCAGGTCATAAATGAGTCTTCCTACAATCCTGATGCCATGTTGTTCATATAATTTATTTTCCTAGATGATTTTGCTCAGCATACAGATTGAATAAGTATAGTGAAAGAATATAACCCTGGCACACCCCTTTCCTAATTACAGACTATTCAGTGTCCCCTTGTTCTGTTCAAACAATTGCCTCTTGGTCCATGTACACGTTTCTCATGAACACAATTAAGTACTACAGAATATTCATTCTCCACAGTGTTGTCCATAGCTTGTCAAGATCTACACAGTTGAAAGCCTTTACATAGTCAATAAAACACAAATAAACATCTTTCTGGTATTCTCTGTTTTTAACCAAGATCTGTCTGACATTAGCAAAAGCTATCCCTCATTCGCCATCCTCGTTTGAATCCGGCTTGAACCTCTGCTTGCTCCTTCTCAGTGTACTGTTGCAGCGTTTTTAAATGATCTTTGTTGTTGTTGATGAGTGTCATCAAGTTGGTTCCAACTCATAGCAACCCTGTAGAGGGTTTCCAAAAAGTGGCTAGTGAGTTTGAATTGCCAACCTGGAGGTTCATACCAACCTTATGGTTAATTATCTTCAGCAAAATTTTACTTGCATGTGATATTACTAATATTGTTCAGTGATTTCTGAATTCTGTTGGGTAACCTCTCTTTGGAATGGGCACAAATATGAATCTTTCCAATCAGTTGGCCAACTGGCTGTCTTCCAAATATCTTGGTATAGATGAGTGAATGCCTCCAGTGCTGCATCCGTTTGTTGAAAGATTTCCATTTGTAGTCCATCAGTTCCCAGAGCTTTGTTCTCTGCCAGTGCCTTCAGGTGCATCTTGGATTTCTGTATTCGGTACCATTGGCTCTTGATCATATGCTGCCTCTTGAAATGGTTGAATATTTAGATGGGATCAAATTGGCAACAGCAAATTGAAAGATTCAACAGGAACCTTAAGGAGCAGTGAGTTTATGTTAAGGGGCAGGGGCAACAGCTCAGAAAAGGAGGGTGAGAATGGTTCCCTGAGTCAAAGAATACAATCACTGCTAATGGGTTGTACAAGCTGCTGGTGTTGTGTTATGTTTTGCTGTGTATTTTCTCAACAACAATAGCAAATAAATGATCAGAAAAGAAAAGAAAACCCTCTGGAGCACAGTTCTATGCTGACACACATAATTCTGCATCAGTTGACTGCTGGTTACTGATTATTTAGGCATCAACTTGTGTAATTTCTTCTCAGATCTGGAAAGATTCAACCCTTCCTCAAAGCTGACTGAATGTGGCCTGCAGAGGGCAAACTAACATCTCTGCCATCCCACCTCTAAACCGGGCAGCACGCAGAGCCAATGTGCTAGTATCTAATGGGATTTGCCCCTGAAGACTTTTTCAAGGAGACAGCTGCTCTTGACAGAAAAACTGATATCATTTCTTTTTTATCTCAGAACAAATGACCAGGGACATATATAGGCTGGTATGGTCGCTGGTGTGCCAACTTAGGGACCTCATTGCTTTGGGAGGTAGGGTAGAAGGAAAGAACTTATAATAGTAATTGTTAAGTGTCTTTAATCCACTTTGATGCCTTTTTTTTTTTTAAGGTTTTTATTGTGGATTGAGTGTAAGTTTACAGGGCAGATTATCAGTTTTACATTCAACAAAGCATACACCTTTTTTCATTACAATGATTATAATCCTCTCCATGTACCATCAATTAACAGTATTTCTCTCTA